ATATATATATATATATATATATATATATATATATATATTATCACAGTTTAACACATTCATTCAACATTTTTAATCTCATCTCTTCACTTTAGCAGCATGCCTGGCAACACTTTAGATAAAAGCAAATGAAGATTAAGATTATAAATCTTCAAACTATCTCTAGGCATATATAACGTTTTGCTTAACAAACCAATCAACACATTAGTTCCTCTCATATACACGTGACAAAAGAAAGAGTCTAAGCTTGGCCAGAAGGATTGAAGGATCAAGTCGGATTAACAATTGTGGCATAAGGATGTAAAGATGAGTATTGTTTGGTGATTAAATGCAATAAGCTACATGATGTTTCTGAAGTTTCAAGCCAAATTGATTTTTATGATTCCTAGCTTCAATTTTAACATGATTTTTAGCATAAACCCACGTTATTTTCCGGCGAATCATTCTCTTCGCTTCTGAGATTCTACACTGCTGCCTCTGTTCTGTTTAGTCTTTTTTATTATCTGCAACAGAGGACAGCAAGCATTAAGCATCATTTGAAGAGGCAAATTCACAAGACCAGTGATAGGAAGATAGCATAACTTGTGATTTTTGTGGGAATACATTGAGCCTGTCATATCATAAGCTTGTCATATTATCTTTAGCTGTGTAAAGAACACCAAAACCACCATGTGTTGCCGGAATAAGATAATGATAATATTAGTTAAAACAATGAATAAAAACACTATCTAAAAACATAATGAAAAAAAAAGTATTCCACTGAAAACAACACACTTCCTTTAAACTTAACTAATCACATGATCTACAGAATACCGAAAATTCATCTTGTTACTCCTGCATTCCTTATGACATACCCCCATTTATGTGATACCAAAAACTGGTGTCACATAAAACTAACAATTAGAACTTAAAGCCTTGAGTAAATTCAAGGCAGGAATACCAGTATTTATATTTAGGTTTAATTACACACTTTCCCCCAAAGTTTCACAATCTCACATAAATTACCCCCATTTTTTTTCAACGGATTATGTCTCCAATTTTCAAAATATCATGAATTTTGCTTCTACATAAAACATCGTGACCGTTTAACAGGAAATCTGTTAAAAAAATGATCTTAATCATAAGATTTTAAAGGAAAAATCTCACAAAATTATGGAGACCATAAAACTTGAGAAAAAAAAAAGTGCAATCAAGCCATATATCTATAACCAATTAACCACACAACCTGCATTCACACGTATAAAAACTTAAAAACCCAAACCTAATATACGAGATTAAATCAATAACGACCATTGCTTAAAAAATCAATGAAAAATTGAAAACAATAAAGCCTCAGTGTCTTCGTGTTTGGAAGTTAATCCTTCCAATCATCTTAGATATCATTACAAGCCTACGAAAGACATCATTGGCAGTGGCAATAAATCAGCCGCAACAAGCAAGGACTTGAAAAACGATGATTAAACAATACATTCACAAAACAAAATTTCCTATGACTGAGAAAATCAGTTAGAGAACAATCGTAAGTAATCGGAACTAAATTCGGCAAAACAAAAGAGAAACTAAAACATGAAAAGGAATGAGAATTAAAGTGAGAGTGAAAAGTGAGGAACGAGCGACAACAACGGCAAAACGCAACGTTCGACGGAACGAGGTATTGGGGTTAAGGTTCGATATATATAGGGGAATCGAAAGGTAAACCAGGGTTTCTGTTCAGGGCTAAAATCGTAATTTAAGATTATTGAGGCCCAAAGGTTGAATATGAATTTCAATGGGCTTCAGATCCAGTTGAAATTCAGAGGCACACTCTTTTATTTATTTACTAGTATTTTAATGTGCACGCTCACAGAATTTTTTTTATTATATATAATATAATAAATATAACTAAAATTTATAATAAAATTATATAGATAAATGAATATTTTATTTGATATATAAATTATATTTAAATTTTGTATAAATAGATATTTTTAAATATATTTTTTAAATTTATGATATATAATTTATATTGTAATAAAGTTTTATTTTTATTTATTTATAATTTATTTTTCAAATATTAAAATTTAATTCATAATAATTATGATAAATAAAAAATTTAATAAGAAATTAAAAAATCTCTAAGAACTTCTTGTTGTAGAAAAGTTCCTTAAAAATACTATCAAACAAGATAACCTTTCACACAATATTATTTTTTTGTTATTGATAGTATATTTTAAAAATATTAAAATTTAATTTATAAATAGGCATGATAAAAAAAGTAAATTTAGATAAAAAGTAAAAAAAAATCCTAAAAATGAATAGTATCTAAAAACACTTTCATGTAAAAAACTGTTCATGTTTAATATATAGGAGTTTATTTCTAAACTATATAAATAATTGAATAGAATTTTTCTCTCAATAATTTTTATATAAAAATGTAGAAATTAATCATCAATTAAACTTTTATTATTAATTCATTAGCCATTAAACGTAGATTGGGTTTAATTGGAAGGAAAATATTTGAATAAAACTTTTCTTGATTCGAAGGAAAGTGTTTTGAATCACTAGTATTAGTCTAACAATGTGAGATTGAAACAATATACACATGATCTTATATTTAAATATTATTGTTGCCATTGTAGTTCTAATATATAAAAAAAAATGAAGAAAGTATTCAAATAAAAACTTTTTTTTTCTTCTGAAATTTAATAAAGATTTTTAAAGAGAGAAAAATATTCTAATGAAAATGACCGAGTGAAAAGTGTGATACGTACGTTTACAAATTAGATAATTATTTTAATTTATAGAGTAAGGTGGTGCATATCTTTTTCTGAATTTTATAAATAGAGAGTAACATGGTGCATTTTTTTCTTCTGAATTTTGTGCATAGGCATTTACTTCATCACACACAAATGGCACTGAATGATGAAGACACGTGAACACAGCAATTCACTTAGCTTTCCATACTAGACTTGTTCAAACCAACAAGTACAAAAAATAAAATGCATGAATCTATGTATTAATTTGTCCACTTATATTCGTTATAGCATTGTCAAAAATATTTGATTCCAAGTATCAGGAACTCCAGGCAAACACCAATGAATACAATCTGCATTTAGTGGGTTACCCTTTTCCTCCTCAGTTAATAGTTTTCCCCCAGTTTCAGTGTAAACGGAGGAATGTGCATCAATCCTATACTCTGAGATTTGTGTTATGTTGATGAATTTAACTGCAACTTTCATTTTCTTCACCACTTTTTCCACCACACTCATCATGCCCTTGTTAGACCCACTTCCCCAATGATTCTTTTTCTCTATTGGCTTTGTCTCATTGAAACATTTCACACCATCTTTGTTGCCCCAGTCTGCGCTTCTGAAAACATCACACATTCATTTGAATTTTTTTAGTAATAATAACCAAATCTCAACTACAATTCTTCAATGGATAAAAATACCTAAGAAATTGTATACAAGATTTGTACTTAATCATAAGCAATTTTTTTAGTTCTAGTGCTTGAAACATGGCATCAAAGAAACAATTGACTTGAAGGTAAAAACTCAAGGAAAGTTGAAGCTTAAAGTTTCCTTTAAGAGAGAGAGACCTTGTGTGTGTTGGGGACATAGTTGTGAAGAAGACTCGGGTTTTGTTTGGATCAATAGTTGAGTCAACCCAGTTGGCCCATGTCCTCAAGCCTAAGTTGTATGCAATTTGTGCGTCTAATTCTTCATACCCTTCTTCTCCATTGGCAAATGAACCCCATCTGAAATCATGTTTCACATTAGTCAACATTTTTTTTCTTTCCTTTTTGTTAAAGATCAAATTGTAATTGAGTGTGTTTTGACCAATGAAAATGATTGTGAACAAAAGAGATGAATGTGTGTGACTTATCCTTTTACATATTTTATATTTTAGGTGACATTGACATGTGATGGCTTGGTTCAAATTAAAGAGGACTTACAGTGCTTTAATCTTAGCATCACTCATCCACCATACATAGGTATTGAAAACAAGGATGTCCACTCCAGTCCAGTTTTTGGCACGATCCATGATCGAATCAACTTTTACTATCTGCTTCTTGGGATCCCTTATGGTAAAAAACTCAGTGTTGGACTCAACAAGCATTGGTGCCCAATAGAATTCTATGGTAGCATTATATTCCTATGTCAAGCAAGCAGGGACTAAGTAATTAATCTGTTTTCTCAAGACAATCTACGATATTAAAAATTGCACATCATTTTACAAAACATTAAAACATATATAAGACATCATAAACAAAAAAATACTGGTGAGTTAAGAAATATGTTTTACATTCTGTTCACAAAACGTTAATTTCTTTCAATAATCTACTTAAGAATATTAAACATTAGTATTTATTATTTCGATTAGGACAATTGTTAATCTCATCATTAAAATATCATTGATAAGTTACATTTACATATTCAGAACCAGAGCAACGTGTGTTTGAATTATTTATGGTTGAATCTAAGTGTGTCACTCTGACCTCATATATTCATTATATCAATACCTTGGCTTTGAAGACTGAATGAGTTCCTTGTTTCATAGACTTCTGGTTTTGGGGTATGATCCATTCAACCATACACACAAAAGATTCCCATTGGCTTTTTTGCAGTGAATCCCCAACGAATAGTAGCCGTTTTCCTCGAAGCTTTTTTAGAGCTAGCTCTGGATTAAACCTGAAAATTGTGTCCATTTTATAATTTGGGGTGTATAAATACACATCCAATGACTATATGACTTAAATCAGCAATTTATATTTATTAACATGAATTTAGTTATTATACATTATTGTTGTTGGTGTAAAAATAAAGTAAATTATACTCTTAATGAGATTACGTTAAATTGTTCATAACTTTCTTATTTTTTTTAATATTTATATTAACGTTCCTTATTAGATATAATATTTTTTAAACAATTAAATAATGGGTTTAATATAATATATTTAACTGTTATTAGTGTCATGTTATTTCAAACATAAAACAAAGACTTTATAAAAGTTTATATTGTATGTAATTCTCGAAACCTTAGAATAAAGTGTTAATATGTAATTTGTTAAAAACAAAAATTTATGTCTCACTAGTTAGAAATCAATTTGAATATGAATTTATAAAGATATGTTACAAAAGTCAGCAACTTTAAACTATATGATACTCTAGGATTAGATATCAATTACATTGTTATAAGATAATCCATGGTTGGTTATGAGTGTAGTTTTAGAAGAGGCAAATTCAGAATGCAGAAGATAAATAAGACTAGCTCTGCAATCATATAGTATAATTTATATGATGCATGTTATAAAGTTTGAGACCTACTTGGGCAAGGTGCAATCTTCTGGTTGCCATTCCCAATAGCGGTAGTCAGAATCTACCCTCCCATTCTTGACACAAGAGTAAGGTCTACTTACGTATGGACAACTAGTGTCTGAATACAAAGGCTTTATTGAACTGTTGAACACCCATTTTCCATTGCTAAAATCGCACTCCTCAGGCTCATAAACGAATCCATCATTAAACCATGAAACATTAGGAACCACCCTTTTTGTCTTGTTATAATCTTTTGGATAACCCAACATGAGACATCATTAATTGATGCATTAGAGTCAAATACTCATATTGGTAGATAAGTTAAAGCTGTAATATACACTAAATTTGTGAAATGAAAATTTTGTTTTCGTTTTGCAATTAGACAAAAGTCTGGGTGTGTGAAAATCTTTCATACCAACTATAATTATAATATTGCGAGCGAGATTATTGTCTGACCCACACTGGACTAAGATATTTGTGACAGAAAAAAAAAAAAAAACAAAATTTACACCGAAAGATTCAACACATGCACAGAATAGTATATGAGGACCTACTTGATATAGGGTTGGTGTTGTTTGTAGAACAAGGTCTGAAATTGAAAATGGAACTGGAAGAAATGTAACTGAAACTCTCTGCATACAAGATGGCTATGAACAGAAGGACACAGATTTTGGTGAAGGGAAACTTTACTCTGGGAGGCTTCATTATTGTTCCTGAAGTGATTCTGATGATAGGTGTGAGATCATTGAAGCTTAAATGTTGTGAGAAAAAGTTTTAATTGATGTAGAGGACATGCCTTAGAGGAAATTGGTCATGCTTTTTTGAGTATGAGTGAAGTTGAATCATATGCATTGGGTTAAAAATAAACTTGGCTGAAGTATAGTGGAGGTAAATAAATGACTTGAAGAGTGAAACATCTTGTGCTTGTCTTCTTTTCTACCTGTAACTGGAAGCTATGCATTTGTTCAGTTTTGTGCTTTCTATATTATTTCCTGTGTTAAACGTGTGGGAATTATATTATGAATGAACTAAATAGGCTGAAGTATACCGGAGGTAAATGAGCAACTTCAATAATGAAATCATATATATTACGTACTCTCTCGCAATGTTCATCTCTGCATGCCTTTCTTCTTTCAGATAGCTGAGCTACTTCAGCTGACGGAGAAGAGAAGATTTACACGTTAAGATAGATGCACGAGGAAATACTAAACAAAATAAATTAAAATTGAATTGAGATCGATGGAGTGTTAATTGAATCAGTGAAAGAGTAGAAGGAAAAATATATAAGGAGAGTACAAAAGCGGAATAGGTTTTAGCAAATAAATAAATTCAATTTCGTGAGACACTATAAAAGTAAGCGAGGGTCACAGGTTTTTTTTTTTTTTTTAATTCATGGAATATCTGGAGTTCAAAAAAATTGCTCAATGAGGGACATGGTTTGACTTTGAATTTAATATGAGAACTAATATCCTTAAGATCTAAACATGGTAAAAATCAAACAAAATAAACATGTTCAGATCATACTTATAATTGCGGAAATTAAAAGACCAACCTCCAGCCATTGTTGCTCGGTTGTTGCTTCAGGTTTCTGAACCCTTGCTCTCTATACGCGATGGTGTAGTATACTGAAGAGGAGAGTAGGCTCAGGACCCAAAAACAGAGATACGTGTTCAGTTTTATAGAGTTCTAATCCATCGTAGATCCTCTTTGAACGTTGGAGAAAAACGCGCGGAAATCACGGTACCATATCCGGCAGTTATTTGATAATGGGTTGAAAAATGGACCACATACATTATATGTTAACCGTAGCAAGTAAAGGGATCAAGAGAACAACGTGAAAATCGGAAGCACGTTGTTTCCTATTACGTGGTTGTTCCAACTGTTGCAAAACAATTTTTCAAAATGAAACGCATATGCCAACATTCTCCCACTTGGTTCATTTATCCAATTATCAATCAAATAGGAAACCAAATATATGTTTCGTTGTTTTGTTCACTCTGTAAAATTGCTCCATGTTAAGGTTTTCTCATGGTTCAAATTCGTTACAGGTTTATTGGAGTTTTTGAATGAATATTTGGGTCTGGAATATTCACATCGCATTTTTCCCTGCAAATTATTTCATTTCAACCGTCAAATTGACTTCCCTTAATTGGAGCAATCAATGTATTTCTCAAGTTTAGTCTTTTTTTTTACAATGATTTTTTTTTTGTGTATTATTTTTACAAATAAGTTAAATTTTAAATTTTAAATTTTAAATTTTAAATTTTAAATTTAAAATTCCTTTTAAAATTTATAATCAAATAAGTTTAATCAACATTTTGAAACTAAATCAAATTTATTTTTATTTATTAAATGAAAATTTGATTTGTTTGCAGTTCTTTTCAACAAATTTTCTTTAAAATCTACATTAAATTATTAAATTTAGACATTTTTTAAACTAAGTTATATAAGTTTAGTCCTTTTTTACAATGATTTTTATTTTTTTTCATTATTTTTACAATGAATTTAATTTTTCTCAACTTATTAAATAATAAAATTTAAATTATGCCTAATTTTTAATTTTGAATTTCATTTATTTTTTAATAGTTTTAAAATTACAAAAATTATTTTTAAAACTTATAATCAAATAAATTTATTCAAAAAGAATTTAAAACTATATTAGAGTTATTTTTATTTTTTACTTGGAAATTGGATTTCTTTTGAGTTTTTTTACAAAATATATTATATAAAAAATCTAAAATAAATTATTAAGTTTAGTCATTTTTTTAATCTAAATTATGATTACTCATTTAAACAAATTAAAACTAAACTTAAAAATAATAAATTAAATATTTTCTCAATTTTATTCATTTTTTACCATGAAATTATGTTAATAATTTCTATAATAAATAAATAAATCAATAAATATATATATATAGCAAAAAAATAACCATTTTAAAATCTTATAAATAAATTTTAAAATTTAGAATAAAATACACCTGCCTCGACCCCGCTAGTATATCATAAATATTATTCACTTAAATATATTGTAAATCTTTATAATTATAGTTGTATATGGTAATTCTTTTGTAAACATTTTACAGATTTATTTTCTGGTTTGTACCATTATCTCTAATTAATTTAAGTTGATATGACTAAATAAAAATCGAATGTTAAAATAAGTAAAATTAATATTTTAGTATATTCAACGTGGATATCATTAAGTAAATAAAAGATGTTGAATTAATCTATAACATTATATAAAAGGGATACAAATATTCATAACTACCATTTGGTCTCCACTTTTAGTATGACTTTTTTACCCTTAATAACTACCATCTTAATACAAGTAACTGTCATCTCTATATTTTTAAAATCTTTTATTCCTCACCAAATAACCTTTTTAAGTAATTGCACTCATTATTCTCACTCTCACAATTTCGTCTTTGTTGCTTCCTCTCTTTTTGTTAAGCTAACTACAATCGATGCATAATCTATTCTCCATTACGGTATATCCTCTCTCACTTCCTCTATTATATTTTCCATTATATACATCTCCTTCATTCTTGGTTTCATTTCATTTTGTTTTCCTTTCATTTTGAATGTTTCCTCTAAAAACGTAAACCATACATAGTTAATAGTGCGACTTATAAACGTTCAGATGTGATTTAGAGTAATTATGTTTTCTTTTATTTTTGTGCCTTTGCGCTTATGTATATTAGATTTCGTTGTTTTGTTCACTCTGTAAAATTGCTCCATGTTAAGGTTTTCTCATGGTTCAAATTCGTTACAGGTTTATTGGAGTTTTTGAATGAATATTTGGGTCTGGAATATTCACATCGCATTTTTCCCTGCAAATTATTTCATTTCAACCGTCAAATTGACTTCCCTTAATTGGATAAAGTTTAGAATAACTTATAGGTATTTATCTTTTGACAACTTTATGATATTGCATTGCGAAGAACTAAGGGTGGTGGTACTTTCAACACAAATAGCATTGCTTTCACTTTGAATAACTTAAGCATTGAAATAGGTATCAAATAATGGTCTGAAACAGTTTCCTTAAATGAGGAGACTATTATTTAATAAGAATAAATCAATCTATTAAAATGCTTTTTTTAATAAATGACAATAATTTAGTTTGGACTTTGGTTTTTAGGTTGTTTTTAATGGTTTGTTTGCATTTGGAGTATCAACATTTTGCAATAAAATTAAGATCCAACACTTTGTGGTTCCCTGTACTTCTACTAAAATAATTCTTCCATTTTTTTCTCTTTTTTTTATTCCATTGATATTTTCTATTATTTATTTCGCATATAAGATGGATTTTAAATAAAAGTCATCATTGAGAATATTTTAGTGATTCACGTTAAATTTCAAAGCTTTCCTTTAATTTTATTTAACAACAATAATATGTGAGTAAACAATAACAATAATTTATTTATAATTAAATTAATTACATACATTTACGTAATTAATAAACTCAATGTATTTCTCAAGTTTAGTCTTTTTTTTACAATGATTTTTTTTTTGTGTACTATTTTTACAAATAATTTAAATTTTAAATTTTTAAATATTAAATTTTAAATTTTAAATTTTAAATTTAAAATTCCTTTTAAAATTTATAATCAAATAAGTTTAATCAACATTTTGAAACTAAATCAAATTTATTTTTATTTATTAAATGAAAATTTGATTTGTTTGCAGTTCTTTTCAACAAATTTTCTTTAAAATCTACATTAAATTATTAAATTTAGACATTTTTTAAACTAAGTTATATAAGTTTAGTCCTTTTTTACAATGATTTTTATTTTTTTTCATTATTTTTACAATGAATTTAATTTTTCTCAACTTATTAAATAATAAAATTTAAATTATGCCTAATTTTTAATTTTGAATTTCATTTATTTTTTAATAGTTTTAAAATTACAAAAATTATTTTTAAAACTTATAATCAAATAAATTTATTCAAAAAGAATTTAAAACTATATTAGAGTTATTTTTATTTTTTACTTGGAAATTGGATTTCTTTTGAGTTTTTTTACAAAATATATTATATAAAAAATCTAAAATAAATTATTAAGTTTAGTCATTTTTTTAATCTAAATTATGATTACTCATTTAAACAAATTAAAACTAAACTTAAAAATAATAAATTAAATATTTTCTCAATTTTATTCATTTTTTACCATGAAATTATGTTAATAATTTCTATAATAAATAAATAAATCAATAAATATATATATATAGCAAAAAAATAACCATTTTAAAATCTTATAAATAAATTTTAAAATTTAGAATAAAATACACCTGCCTCGACCCCGCTAGTATATCATAAATATTATTCACTTAAATATATTGTAAATCTTTATAATTATAGTTGTATATGGTAATTCTTTTGTAAACATTTTACAGATTTATTTTCTGGTTTGTACCATTATCTCTAATTAATTTAAGTTGATATGACTAAATAAAAATCGAATGTTAAAATAAGTAAAATTAATATTTTAGTATATTCAACGTGGATATCATTAAGTAAATAAAAGATGTTGAATTAATCTATAACATTATATAAAAGGGATACAAATATTCATAACTACCATTTGGTCTCCACTTTTAGTATGACTTTTTTACCCTTAATAACTACCATCTTAATACAAGTAACTGTCATCTCTATATTTTTAAAATCTTTTATTCCTCACCAAATAACCTTTTTAAGTAATTGCACTCATTATTCTCACTCTC